TGAAAGATGAAAGACGGCAAAGAGTAAGGGCAAGAAGAAAAAAAAGAAAAGGAGGAAGAGACAGGGGCAATTCTATCCTACTCCAACTGATGAGACCTATGAGAAGAGGTACTTAAGGCGCTCGGTGCCGCAAACGAGTCTTTTGTTTATCCTCTTAATAGGCATAAACATGTGGAAATGTCACGTGATATCCAACAACTGATGACGTCATTTCGAGGGAATTTAAAGGGTGTCGGCAGAAGAAAGAGAGGCTTAGTGGCTGGACAGTGAGAGATGGGAAGATGGGGAGCAGCACAGGGGAAAAAAAGCGGGGAGGAAACATAAAAACCGTGTGTGGTTATGAGTATGCGTCTCCGGAGCACATTTTCCTATGTTCTCGGCACGCTGAAAGCAAGATCTCTTGAGAAAATATGAATCATAGAGACTTCTCCCTCCCTCCGCGACAGGCTAGGCGACTGCAAATCGATAAAATTACTTAGTCTCCAATTTTCATTTCTCCTCGTGTCATACGTCATTAGAAGGGGAGGTAAAAAGAGAGGAAAGTGCGGAAATCTTTAATAATCTTTCATTCGACAAACAGAATCATTTTCCCCCTACAAACAAAAATTTAATCCACTCATGGGAGACGGAATGTAGCAATTTTCGGAGTCATTTCTTCGCTTGCGACTATATCAAACGATTTCTTTCCGTAAAACGCTAATCCTACATGAATTTTAGATAATTAAACAAGGCAATTTCTCCCTCCGTCTCTCACGAAATGCCATCTCGTCTCCCATCATCACCGGCCTCGTAGAGAAATCTATAATCTTTCCACGTTTCTAAATCTGAACCGGGCAAATCTATATAATGACTTCTTTTAGAGCCGGGTGAAAGAAAAAAAATGACGAGTCTTGAAAAGAAAATTGGTAAACGTAACAACTTGAACATTACCATTAACTTTCAGCAAAATTACGACACTGGGTTTTTTTTTCTTTTCTTCAGTCCTGAACTCCGCTTTAATTTTTGTTCAATACACCTTTTCTTTTTGTTTCGAATAATAATTCACCTTTGTTTTTAACCTGTATTTACTCTCCGTCATCAAAGCAGATAATGCGAGCAGACACAAGTAATCGTAAGAGTAATTCATAGGTCTTAATAACAAGTTGCCAATGTTAAGAACAGCAGATCGGCTCTAATAACAACGTGTGGTTTCAACAAGCGTACAGGAGGCACCCCGACCTGACCTACTGCGACCCCATTCTGACCCCAGCATCTCCTCAGACTCGTTGACACAAACAAACGTCAGCGAATGTGGACAAAGTGATTTACGATTTGGCCAACACGCGGAATGCAGCATGCAAATAGAAATGCATCGAAAAAAAAATTATAAAAAAAATAAAAAAATAAATAAATAAATAAATAAACCAATAGATAAAATAAAAAATAATTAATA